CTCGAACCGTAAAGTTAACCATGTGGGACCCAGCCACTTTAACCACCACACCACTGGCTGGCCCGGGAAACATCCTTTACATGCTCCAAATTGTTCTGGGTGCCAGGTCCTAGGCTAGGAAGGAAAGGTCCCCCGTGAAGAACCCCGTCAACACACAGAAGCAACACGTCTGGGGACCAGACGGCCAGCGGGCCCAGCTTGGGTGGGATTAGTTATGTTTGGGCTTGCAGACCTGCCTGGGCATTTCAGCAGAAGGCTCCCCCAGAAATCCATGGGGCCTCGCTCACTGGCTCCAGCCCCAGCACACCCCACCCAGGGGGCTCTGCCACCCCCACAGCCTCTCATTCCAGGCTGCTCCACAGAGTGGATATTTTTAGCTATCTTGGGGAAACAATTTGCCTATTTGATGACAAAAGACTCATCCCTCACTGAGGGCCCCCGAGCCACTGCAAATCCTCTTGGTGTGTCAGGTGGAACGCCGAGGCACTGTCGTGCAAGATAATAACTCAGACCTTCGCAGGCACAGGGACACGTCCTCAAAGACATCCTTTCCCTTGAAATAGTGATTCTGCCTGCCACTCCCTGCTTCCAGTTTGGGGTAGAAATTCACACACCCCGGGCACAGAACAAAAGTCTCCAGGAAGACAGGCGGTGGCAAATACAAAGAACGGGGTTTTTATGGCGCCGGATAATCACACTTTCTGGTTCTCGAGTGCATTCCCCCACGGAGCTCAAAGCTTTCCACAAAACCTTTCATCTCCCTACAGCAAGTAGGCGGCAAAGTATTGTCACCCCGGTTTTTGCAGGGGGTGAATGCCAGTGATGAGGGATCTCCCGTCGAGGCAGAGGCTGGGCCTCCAGACTGCCCTACCAAGGCACCTCCGTGCTCAGCAGCTCCCAGTGGGGTGCTGGGTGGAGAAGACTGGACCACAGGGCTGGCCTGTAAGGAAGCCATAAATTCAAAAACAGTGGAAAGGAGAAAGAAGGGCCCAGAGATGCCATCCCATAAACGCCCATCCAGCGCCTGATGGGGACCACGGGTGCCCAACGTGGGTGAACAGTCTTCCTTTCTTCCTCCTCCTCAGCAGGCCCTCCTGGGGGAAAGAAAAGGCTGGTTTCCTGCTTTGGGGGGGGTGGGGGAGGTTTAAAAAAGAAACAAAAACACCACAAGCAAGTGATCGGCCCAGGAACATAGGGTTCTCAGGAAAGGGCAGTGCACCCATTGGCTGGTGGGCTCTGAGTTCTGGGAGGGAGGCACTCCCTTCTAGGCTGGCCTTGGCTACATTCAGGGAGGTCTAAGCCTCATCTGCCTGCCTGTGCTCTGGCAGGGGGCGGGGAAGCGATCCCCGATGATCCCCCCCACAGCCCAGCCTGCACGTGAACCCCTGTGAACTGCACCTCTGCCCCACCCTTCCCAGGGGCTCCTACGATGAGGCCTGCAGGATCTGGACAGGGACTAGAAAGCCCCAGGGCGGTGGCCACAGAAAGCAGGGCAAAAAGCAGGGTGGCCCTGGTGCCAGCTAGCACCACCCCACACAGGCAGTGGCAGGCGGGCTCACCAGGCCGTCTGGGTCCACTGGCGACAAAGGATCCTTCGGAAGGCACGGCGAAAGTCCTGGTTGAAGATGGTGTAAATGACAGGGTTCAGTGAGCTGTTGCAGTAGCCAATCCAGAAGAAGAACTGGAAGAGGCCGTGGGGCACCTTGCAGTGCTGCGGGCAGATGGCGCCCAGGCTGTAGCTGAAGAAGAAGGGGAACCAGCAGAGTACAAAGACACCAATGACCACAGCCAGCACGAAGGTGAAGCGCTTCTCCCGGGTCAGCTGCGCCCGGCGGCGCCACCACTGCCCACTTGCAGCACCCACGCCCCTGCTCAGGAGCACCTGGCCACGGAGGGTGGCCAGCACGCGGGAGCCTTGTGGTTGCTGCAGGGGTGGGCTGCAAACCGAGGCAGGAGACACAGGCACTTCCGGAGGCTCACACTCTTCCTCCTCTTCCTCCTCCTCTTCTGGAGAAGCCTCACGAACACCCTCCTTCTGGCCCTGGCCTGAGCTGGCAAGAGCAGCCCAGCCGGGTGGCAAGACCTGTGTCCCAGGATCTTCAGGGGTCTCCCCGTCCTCCCTGTTCCCAGGAGGCTTGGAGTGCCCATTGGCCTCTCCCGCCGTAGCCAGAGAAGAGGCCAGGGTTGGTAGCTTGGCTGAGGCTGAAGCCCGGTCAGGGACAGGGCGGGGCTGCTTGGACCCACCCTCCCAAGGACCCCGCTTGGCCCTGGGACCTCTGCGGTTGCTGCGTTTGGCGATCAGATAGATGCGCAGGTAGACAAGTATCATGATGAGGCAGGGAGCAAAGAAAGAGCCGATGCTGGAGGCCAAGATGTACCAGGCCTCTTGGTTGAGCTTGCACTGGGGGCGCCCTCGGGGCTGGGGGCCCTGGTCGCCCTTGTAGATGAGGGGCGGCAGCGAGATGACGGCTGCGATGAGCCACACGGTGAGGATGATGCACTTGATGCGGCGCGGGGTGCGCTTGGAGTTGTACTCGAGCGCGCGGCTCACGGCCCAGTAGCGGTCCAGGCTGATGGCGCACAGGTGCACGATGGACGAGGTACAGAAGAGCACATCGAGCGCCAGGTACACCTCGCACCACGTGCGCCGGAAGTACCAGTAGCCCAGCAGCTCGTTGGCCAGCGAGAAAGGGATGATGAGTGTAGCCACCAGGATGTCGGCGGCCGCCCAAAAAAAAGGTTTTGGCGGGGCGCGGAGGGAGCGGCTGGTCAGCACAGCCAGGATGACCAGCGCGTTGCCGAAGATGGTGAAGAGGATGAGGAAAGTGATGACCGCCGCGATGGCCGCGGTGGCCTGCACGGAGTAGGGCTCTTGGTGGTCCATGATGGGGCCGACCGGGCCAGGGGGAGCGCTGCTCGCCCAGCGCGCGCACCCGGGGGCGAGAGCGCTGCCCCGCTCGGCTAGACGAGGGGGTCGCCTCCCTGGCGGCGCTGAAGGCTCTGGAGCCCCATGGCCTAGCTGAGCCGGGCCTAGGAGATGGGGGTACACCGAGAGCCGGCCACCGCCCTCCTACAACCTCTTCCACCCGCGCCGGCGTCTCCCGGTCCGCCCCAGACAAGTTTTCCAAGTAGTCCCGCTGCCGTCCACGTCTCGCCCGGGCCCGAGG